AATATTTCAACGCAAAAAAAGCGAATAAAAGTTGTTGTCGTCGGAGAAAACTTTGAAATACAAGGATTAATTTCAATATTATGAACTGGCAAAAATCCGGTTTCGTCCGGGCCGGTTTAATTTTTCATCCGGTCTTGTCCGGTCCGGCCGGACCGGTTCCAACTCTGCTTTGAATAACATGCTAGGTCTCTAATTAGTTCTAAACATTATAGCGAAAATTAATGAACAATATTCTGTTTTATCTTATTTTTCTTGTATGAGATAGCACGATGATACACATGTTCAATGTTAATAGTCTATTGAAATTTCGAAAATAGCAATAAAGATTTCGTTTTGTGAGAACCAAAGGGGTAATATCCCTCCGAATATCAGGTTGATCCTTCTGAAAGATAAAATCTCGATAGACCATTGCATTAATATTTATTCATCATTGTTGTTCAGAATAAAAAAAGTATATGACTATTCAAATATTGAATAACATTTAGATATGTTCAATAACTTAAAGATTTATTTTTTGCTTACATACCCAAATGATTTAGTTCCAGAAAAAAAGAAATGTCATTTTCATTTGTGTATCAACAATTCATCTATTCGTATATGAACAATTTTCATTGAAAATATCTAATATGTTTTACTAATTATTTATTATCTAAAAAAAGATTATGTCATCATCTAAGTTAAAATCACTTATCAAAAACTAAAATGAGATTAGATAAAAAACACACCCACACATATATAAAAGGAAAAATGGAATGTTTTAATGATCAACATGTTGATCAAGTTTTAATGTTGAAAACCAATCACGTACATTAAGTTCAATAGTACCCTTTAGTGCATTTACATTAATCGTTGAACTAGCAGATTCATCCGAAATAAAACCTAATTTATAAACGAATAAAATTTTAATGAATATTCAATATCGATATATTTACCTTTTACTTGAACAATTTTATCTTTTCGTATTGTTTGTCTATGAAAATGTTCAGCTTCATCAGATACTTGTACACGTTTACCGACAAGATCTAATCGAACACCTACTGTATCTATTACACCCATTTTAACATCACCTTAAACCAATACAATTTTTTGTTTTTGCAACAAAACAAATAGAAACAAAAGAAAAGATTCAAACCTTGTTGTACACGTATTGTCGATGAATCAGTCGCTGTAAAAAACACGTTCACATCACCTTCTTCACACTGAACATTCACATCACCATCAATTGATGCTAAAAACAATCAAAAATGTTTTAATCTTTACTCAAAAATAAATTTTATTTTTTTTAATCTTCTCACCTATATTAATCGAACCAGCATGTAAATCAACTAACAAAAACAAAAATTGAATTAAAAAATAAACAATTCAAAATAAAATTTATATACCTATTCCATGTCCATTTAAATTTCCCAAACGAAAACGTCCATTTTGTCCTTGTACAAGAAAATGTTCCGAATATAAACGTTTGAGTTGTATGTCAGAATTTTCAACTTTTAATCGTACATAACTACCTTGTAATTTTGATGCTTGTATTGTCTAATTGAACAAAAAAATAGAAAAAAAAATACGAAATATATCTAAACTGAATATATATTTACACCATCTCTTCCTGTACTTAAATCAATTGTACCATGTAAAGAACCAAAACCTGTTATATTTCCATTTTGACTATGAACGACAATACTATCTCCCTACAAAAAGAAAATACTTAAATCTCGATTGAATATTAGATACATTTAATTTATTCACTAACGACAATATTTTTTAATGAACATTCGCCTTGTTTTGCTTGAATCTAGAAATATGAATGAAAGAAAAAATATAACAAATAATATCTATTGGCATTTTTACATGTACTCTAGGACAATGAAGATATTCAACATTAACATTATTATTGTCTGTACAAATAACATCAAGTTCTGAATACCAAAAAAATGTTTTTCAATGATTAATTTAAAAAAAAAACGTGTACTCACCATAATGAGGAGGAATTTGACAATAAACTTCGAGAGTATGAGCTTGTTCACTCAATTGTTTTTCACCTTAAAATAAAGTAAAAATATAAAATTCTGAAATGTTTCAGAAAAAATTATATACCTAATTGAGTAAATTGTCCATAGATACGAAGACTTCGATCATCTTGATTATATAAACTTGAAAATTCAAATAATTTACTCCATTCTTCTTTGGAAAATTGAAAACCACTATCACCTACCAATATTTTCATGTAAAAGATATCTTTTTTTTTCAAAATTAAATCAATACCGTAAATAGTAAAAAAAGCTTTATCAAGTCTTGGAAAATCTTTTTGATTAATTGGTGTTACATAGAGATTAAATGGACATCGTACTTCTAAACGGCCTTGATTAAGAACATTTATTGTTTCAGTATAAATTGTTTGAACTTGAGCATTTCTCATTACAGATGATGGTGAAGTATCTAATCCGCCAAAACAACGCCATGGTTGTTTTAGAAGACTTGATAGCCATTTCGAATTTGGGTGAGCAGTCAAAACAACTGTTCGAGAAAAGTGAATCATTGCATATCTAAAAAAAAAAAAAAGTATTCGATCTTTAGAGTTTATAATTAATAATAATAAAATAAGCAGGAAAGCAAGCAAGGAAATTTGGGCGATAATGATAAAGCTAATAACAAGTTGCAGGGTAGAGTCAATTCCTATTTGAAGCTGAAAAGCAGAAACTTTTCTCATCTATACCATAGTATCAGGTCATTTGTAGACAAAGTTTAAAGATTTTTGGAGAACTAATGAGGGATTCTCTCCAGATGTCAAATCGCTTGTCAAGCGAGACAATATTCATTTGATGAGTACTAATGATTAATAGGAAAGTCTCGAACGGTTTGGTTTTCCAAGCCTTCGTTCTCGAGATATCGAAACTTTACTGGGTTTGCAATGAAACGCTGTGATTCTCCTAGGATCACATGGAAAATCGACTTGTGACTTCAAACTTTGCACGAACAAAGTTCTTTATGGAATTAGTTGACTGTGTAAGTTGTAAATTTTCTATTCTAAGATATCGAATGTGCAAAATTCTCTCTTGTGTAAAAGTATAATCGTTTGGTAACGAAATCAAGTGGTTTGTCAAGAGTCCAGATTCTTTTTTTTTTGCTCAAATTATTGATATTTACGTTTGTATCATAAATACAGGATTCATACATGGAAGGGTAACTCATTACTAAGGCATTTTCAACTGAAAATTATCCCAATCGGTTATCCGTTCTATAATCTTTCTCTGATAAAAGTTTCAACTCGAACAGTTGAGATGTTACTAAATAATGACGTAAATATAAACATTATTTGTGTTCATTTCTGCTCATTGTTTTTCAAATATCTTGAGAAAGAAACAAAACAACATGGATTTTTGATTTTTTTTAGAAGTAAATTTTATTCAACGAGTCAACTTGAATTTCATTTAGACACCATTTTTTGCATTCTTCACCAGTCTTTTAACAGACCTTGATTGTAAAAGGTAAGCGTTGAGTCACAGCTAACAACACATTTGAAATCAATACGAAAAACTAAGTGAACTTATATGTATTTCGAAATTTTTCTACGAACTTTTTTTTTCTCGAAAATGTCAGCTGGAGTTTCCTTCGGAGTCCAGTGAAAGAATGAATTCAATTAGAAAATCGTTTGATCAGTGATAATACGAGTTTTGAACCTTTAAAAATCGTCATTATGAAACAAAGAAACAAATAACCAATAAGAATGTTGTTTTCATTAAATTCACTTTACGACTGAACTCTGGCGAGACTCCAGCAGACTTTTTTTCGAGAAAACAAGTTCGTCAAGAAACTTCGAAATACGTATGAGTCGACTCAGTTTTTCGTGTTGATTTCAAATATGCTATTAGCTTTGACTCAACATGTACTTTTTCTAATCAAATTCTGTTAAAGACTGGTGAAAACAATGTAAAAAGACGATGTCTAAACGAAATTCAAGTTATCTCATTCAATAAAAACTTCTTTTTTTTTAAAACCAAAAAGTTTTGAGCCTTTTCTTCGAGCTTTCAGGATCAGTCAGAACCTATGTTGTTTTCTTTCTTTCTCAAGGTATTAAGAGAACAATAAGCACAAATGATAACATAACCATATGATTTTCATGCTCATTTGAAGCAATATTCACGTCATCATTCGGTAACATCTTTACTATTCGAGCTGAAACTTTTTCTAGAGAAAGACCTTAGAAGAGATAAAAGATTAACAAAGTTTTGAGTTAAAAATGTTTTAGTACGAGAAAATTTACATGAGCTACCCTTTCATTTGTGAATCATATGTTTATGATACAAACGTGAATATCATTAATTTGAGCAGAAAAAGGTCTAGACTATGAGAAATTGTCTTATTTTGTAGCCAAATAATTTCTTGAGCAATTTTGTTTTAGGTAAACTACAAATTAAAGGAAAAGTAGGGTGACCCAAAAATGACCCTTATATGCCCCTGTCCTTTACATCTCCAGAAAGGAAATACTTGAAAATGTGCAACTTGCACAATCAATTAATTACATAAAAAACTTTGTTCGTGCAAAATTTGAAGTCAAAAGTCAATTTTTCACATGACATGAAAAGATCACAGATGTTTATTGAAAAACCCAGTAAAATGTCAATATCTCAAGAACGAGAGTTTGGAAAAGCAAGCCGTTCTATACTTTTCTATTACTGGCTAGCACTTGTTTAATAAACATCGTCTAGCGGTTTAACATCTGGAGTAAACCCTTCGCGAGTACCATGCAGTCATCTCATGGGTTTGCCACTATTTGATAGTCATGCAGTAGGAAGCGTACAAATCATCAGTAGCGGGTGAAAAAATAATACATACTATCCATTGTTTTGCCATTATTATATTGTTTGATGATATTTCTATTTCATTATATGAACTCATTGGTTTATCGTATTATTTACTAAAGCTAAATTAAGGAAAATAGATTTATTATTTCACAATTGGGGAGGCTTCAAAATAATTCGATGAGGATAATATGCTAGTCATAGAAAATATCTAAATACTCGATTCGCATTTCTTTAAAGGAGAGAATAGTTTTCGAAAGGAATGAATAATTATTCTCAGAAATCCTAAAATTCGCTACGTAGAACAATAAATAACTAAGAGAAAAAAATTTAAGAATCATCGTTATCTACATAAAAATACGAAAACGTTTCGATTCACTATTCTATATTTTGAGAATGAAATATATTTATCTTTATAATTCATTCGAAAATAAAGATGAAAGATCTCTATAGTTTGATAAACGTACTGAGTTTCATATGTCAACTTGATTGACGTTTATATAATAAGAGAACAGTGACTTCTGTGTTTCACTATTTGTCTATAATCTAAGGAAAAAAAGATCTCGTGTAAGTAGCCTGTATACGAAGGAAAAGATAAGATAAGATAATTTCGTAAGAAGCCCAAAACGTTTTTCGTCCAGAGAAAAAAATAGGTAACACTTCATTCTGTTTCTAGAATGTAACTTTAATCGGTCCCTATATGCGCCATGTTCAAATTCACTCAGATTGATCAAAATTTATTCGATTTAAAAGTCCGCCTTTTCCAATGTTTTGCGTCACTTTAATAAATATCAATAATCCTTCTTAACTAGAGTCAAAATCTCTACCTATGACGATAAACACTTTCAAAGCGATTGAGCGATCAAAAAATCTTGCAAAGTCGCAGCACAAAAAAAAATCAGATTTTTAAAGACTTTATCATAAAAAAACTTTTCTTATGAAATTTCAAGTATGTCATATTAGTATTTCAGTGTACATTGTTTCTATAGTTTTTGAAAATCAAAATCATTTTCCTCTTTTTTTTTCTTCAATTAATAACAACAAAACAAAATTCATTACAAAATCAAACAAGAATTTTAATTTTGTCTAACGTTTTTTTCTTAATACGTTTTTTAAAGTGTATGAGAATTACACACAAACACATATAACATCAAAGAAAGAAAGAGAAAGAAACTAGACAGTTATGAATTAATATATAAATTGTAATCAATGTCGAGATTTTTTTTCTTTTCGACTACTTTCACTACGACGATGACGTCCTTTTGAGCGCGAACGTGAACGTGAGCGTGAACGTTTACGTGAATCCTTTTTCCTACGATGATGATCACGAGAACGTGAACGACGTTTTCGATCACGTGATGATCTTGATCGGCTACGTTTTCTTGATCTATTTACATAGGAAACAAAAACAAAATATAAAATACTGATATATTTATTATAAGAACAAAATTACCTTGAACGTCGTTTAGGTGATCGAGTTGATTTTGAAGATTTTTTACGCGATTTCGATCTTGACGATGAACGATGTCGTGAACGTGATGAATGACGACCATTTTCACGATGAGTATCATTCTCCTCCTCACCAGCCGGAGACTCTTTACGAGCTGATGCACTAAAAATAAACAATAAGATTCTTCTCAAATAATAATAAAAAAGTGGTTAGTAAAGTATTTTGACAATATTTTGAGATGATACTTGCAGTATTAGAGACATTTTAATATTATGAGTGTTGAAAACTAAGGTATTGAGTAATCATAGTGACGAACCAAGCTAATAACTCACTAGGAAAGTCTTTCAACTGATAAATCGCTTTTGAGACAAGACTATGGGCATTGTGCAAATCCAAATGAACTGTGAATACTCTGAAACAAGTTTGTATTCTTAGCTTATTGCTGCGGAGTTACTACACTTCTTAGCGAGAATAAGTTTTTTTTTTGTGAATATTTTAGATTTTATTGCTATTCGTATCATAAGATAAAACTATGGTAATAGCGTGTCATTTGCATCACTCATATAAACCAGCAGATTTGATATTCTTATTTTAGGATAAAAACAAATTCAAAGACCTGAAACTTTCACAATAAAACATTCTTATAAAGGCTTGATTTCATGTAGATTGCAAGGGAAAATTGGGAAATCAGTTTTTCTTCTAATACCCTCGAAGAGAACCACAGTATATTTTAAAAAGAACTGTAAAAACGCAGTAAAATAACAATAACTCGAGAAGAAAGATTTAATGGCACGAATGCGCTTAGGATTTTTATCTGCACTGAACCAAACATGAACTCAAAAGGAGACTGCCAATCGGATAGATTTCCTCATAAGAAAAGGTCAAGTGTCGCAGTTCACAATACACACATCATAGTTGAATAATCACTCTCTCTATTTATACGATATATGTCCAAAAAAGCGAACGAAAAGAATAGTCACTAAAACGAAGATCACTGGTCTAGATCATCGAGAGAAATTCGGTGATCTTTCTTTCTGATGATGTTCGTTTCGGCAATAAAGTGCACAATCAAAACAAAAACCAAACCTTCGAGAACGCGATCGACTAAATGGCATATCTTCTTCATCTAAAAACCAAAAGTTCTTNGAGCTGATGCACTAAAAATAAACAATAAGATTCTTCTCAAATAATAATAAAAAAGTGGTTAGTAAAGTATTTTGACAATATTTTGAGATGATACTTGCAGTATCTCTCTATTTATACGATATATGTCCAAAAAAGCGAACGAAAAGAATAGTCACTAAAACGAAGATCACTGGTCTAGATCATCGAGAGAAATTCGGTGATCTTTCTTTCTGATGATGTTCGTTTCGGCAATAAAGTGCACAATCAAAACAAAAACCAAACCTTCGAGAACGCGATCGACTAAATGGCATATCTTCTTCATCTAAAAACCAAAAGTTCTTTTGGCAAAACAAAAAAAATAGATTTGTTTTATCCTACCACTTCTCATTCCACGAACAGTTGCTGGTTTAATAATGCAAGAAGTTGCATGATTAACTCTAAAAATTTAATTTATATTTTTCTGTTTTTGTTTTTTTTAAAATTCAACATACAATAACGGTCGTCCAAAAAATTGAAAACCATTTATTGAGAGAACTTTTGGAATTGATGGTTGCTCACTAAATTCAACATAAGCACCACGTATTTCAACATTTTCATCAGTATAAGCTGCTCGAATAAATCGTATTTCACCAATTTGTGATAAAAATTCATGTAAAATATCCAAACCAACCTAATTAAAATAATTAATAAAAAAAAAAAAGAAACAAAATAGAACAAATTAATCAACTTACATTTTTATCTAAATTTGATAAATAAACTGTACGTCGAATTTCTTCAACTTTTGTAACATCTAATGCTCCTGGTAATGGTGGATATGATGGTAAATTTCTATCAGTTAATTCTGGATCAACCGTTTCAATATATGAAGGATTATGTGGCTGACCAACAAGTCGATTTATAACTGTACTTGGCCATGTTGGACCACCACTAAGTAATGTTATATTTGGATTAAGTGGTGCACAGTATATCATTGCATCTGTTTCATCTGGTATAGTATTTTCAAAAACTTGTGCAACTATTAATGGCTTATCAATAAATATTGTATTTGTCATATTCAGTGCGGCATGAACACTATCATTACGTTCGTATTTGATATAGCCAACTTTTCCATTAATTGTTGATGTTAATGTATCACTATGAAAAGTGAAAAGTTATATTCATTTAAGGCATGTAAGATTAAGAAATATTTGTGAAGTGAACGAACGTATCAAAGTTAACTATTGAAAATAGAAATTAGAATTGTCTAAAGCATGCATATGACTTTTTTTAGATCAGTATTTTATTTCGAAATGAACGAAACATTTTATTGAAAATTATTCATAAATTCCGCATTGTTTGATAAATAGAAAAATAAACAATCGTGTTTCTATGATTTGTTTCAGATCAATAAAGTATACGAGGCTTTTATTTGATAATAAAACTCTACGAACTTAAACATCTAAGAAACGAAGCTTTTAGTCATGTCTTGGAGTAAAAAGTGTCTTCAAATATATTTGTATAATTCTGATTTCAATGGTTTTTTTGCTTATCGATACATTAAACAGTATTCTAATGAAAACTCTAAAAGAATTTGGGTTTCTCCTAAGATTTGACTAAGCTATCAAATTTTAATATCTTTTTTCTAGAGGTCTCAGTTTTTCGAAAGAACTCGTCTGTTCGAGCTTTGATCTGAAACTTTGTTCAAATAGAAAACTCAACTAGATCAACTTACATAAAAAATGTCACAAGTTTTGAACAAAGTTTCTTTGAGATATGAGACGCGTTTCCGTGGGTAGTTTATGCAGCATGCACTTTGTTTGAAAACTTGATATCTCGAAGGGACTTTGTTTAAAATTTCTGAATTCTTTTTTGACAGAAGTAACTCTAGTTGAATTCTCTATATGCGCAATGTTTCATAAGAAAATTCTAAAAAACAAGTTTTCCGAAAATCTAGTAGCTTTAGAAAATAGACATATTAAAAGTTCGATAGCTTCGTCAAATCTCAATAAGAATCTAAATTCTTCTAGAATTTATATTAGAACACTATGTTGTATCTATAGACAAAAAAATTATCGCAATGGGAAGAAAACATCGAAGGAGGTTCTCTCGTTAATCTACAAATGCAATTCTTCCCATGAAGATTTTTTCACTTCACGCATGGCATCAATTGTTAGATAGTTTTGATCGTCGAACAAAAGTGGAGAACTCTATATTAGTTATTGAAAGAATCTTTTCCTCGAGCTAATATATTAATAAAATATCTTATGTTTATATTTTTTTCAATAGATTTTCCTTATTACAAATAAATCTATTCGAATTACTTACCTATCCGGATACAATTGAACATCATCAATTCGTCCAAAAAAAGCAAATAATGCCTTTAATTGATCTCTTTGACATGTTGTTGATACGTTACATACTTGAACAACTTTACTATAAGAAACTATGGTCGACATCTAGAAAAAAAAATCAAAGTTTAAAGAAAAAATCGAATTCGTTGTCTTTTTGTCCATATAAGTTTCATTTAAAAATTTTGTTTTTATTTACAGACATAGAAATTCAATTTTGAAATACAAAAACAAAAATTTTCAATGTATAATGTTTCAACTTGTCGTGATTATGAAAACACCTGATTGCAGATGATTTCAACAGTTTCTTTTGATTTGACTTAATGTAAAATAATGAATTCATACTTTATAGTTAAAGCCATTTATTCAAATCATTAATATGTTCAATAAACTATGATACTGGGAAAATTTCCAATAATAATAATCAATTTGAATAAACAATTGAATAATTTCATCTAATACGTGATTTTGCGTATTAAGAGAAAAGTTTCCTAAAAAATATAAAATATGAGATTTCGTCTTTTATCTGATCTAACGAGAAAAATTTCTCAACATGAATGACAATATTTTTTTTTCTTTATGTATCCAGCTTTAATCAAAAAACTCGAGAATGTTAATTGTATATACTAGTTCTGAAATATATGATAAGGAGAAGATTTTTTTTAAATCTTTAAATTTTCAGACTTTTTTTTTCGATGATAATCGTAAAGATAAATTTAAAAAAAAACAAGATCTGAGTGATTTTTCATAGTTCTTTTAAAATGTATTACTTGTATTTAATTGAAACATTATACAAAGATGTCTGATAAAAATCAAACATCTTCGAGATATTTTGTTACTAAACTGCACTGAATTTTAAAGCGTTAAATTTAATAATAAAACCTCTTGGAAAATCGAATATCATTAAGATGCCTTACAGTTGTGTAATTCACGAAACTATATCATATTGTTTAAGAATGTCCGAAAGATATTTCCGATACCAATCTGAGGAATGTTTTCAGTATTCTTATAGATATTTCGAAATATTATTATAATTTACGATGAAAGACAAGTTTTGTAAATAAGGTGGTGGAAAAAATGTTTAACAACAACATTTTTTTTTTCTCTAATATCAAATGATAAACTCAAATTCTGATAGTGATAAGATTTCATAGACGAATTATGATAGCTATATTTCTAAAAGACCAGACCCAATAGTTTTCAGGTCCTGGAAGACTTTGTTGAAACCATTTTAAAGAGCAGTCGCCACGTTTTCTACGACTTTTCCGTAAAAAGTTATAAGTGTTACAAAAGTTGTAAAAAAGGCGTTTTTGTAATATTTACAGCTTATGAAAGGAAGGTTGTAGAAAACACGGCAACCCTTCACTTTGTTCAGAATTATTTACTCTTTAAAATGGTATTACTAAAAATTAACTCAGACAAAGTCTTTTGAGATCTGAAAACTATAGTCTTCGATTTATCAGAAACCATACCACCATAGTTCATCTAAAAAAAATTTCCATATAGATTGTATTAGATAGAAAACTCCATTGACTATTAAAATCGCTGTCGAGATTTAAGCTAAGTATTTAACATTATAGAAAGAAAACCAATACTCAATTATTGTTCAACATTTTCCCATCACCTTATTTGTCAGCTATTTTGATAGCTTCAATAAATTCTATGACAGTAATCCATTGGCCATGCAAACCATACGAATTCTTCTACTATATATTGATGTTTGAGGTAATCAAAAACAAAACAAATAGAATTGTGATTTCATTCATTTTGTTTAATTCAACTGATATAACTTAAAAACTAATAATGAAATATTACTTGATTATATTCATTGTATTCCATTTGTTAATTTAAATCTATTAAACATATTGAACATGAGAACAATCAGTTAAACAATTGTCAACACTAAAAAAAAAACTCATTCTTTGTATGGTAAGCACTAGAAACAATGCTACGAATACGAAAGCACAAGAAGTACAAGTGGCGTTTCATTCTGATTGTAGAAAAAAATTTAACCAATGATTAAATTTCTTGTTAGATGACAGTAATTTTTGAAAAAAAAAGTCTCTTTTTTTAGTTTGTTTCATCGTAAATATGTATACAAATAATGATATTGATACATTTCTTAAAAAAATAATCGATAGCCAAAATCAAACATCAGAAAATGGTTTAAAAAAATTTGATTTTAATTTTTTTTAAGTTTGAAAGACTATCTATATTGTATTGTTTAGCTAACGAAACAGAAACATCGATTGTTCAAGTGAGATCAGAAATCGATAAAAATATATTAAAAGATTTAATTAATCAAAAACTCGACTATCGACATAAAGTTATTCGACTTTTAGCTGAAATTTGTAAAGATGGTACAATAAATATAAATATACATTAATTTATTCGATTTTTCTATTTTTTGTTTTGTTTTCATCTAATGATTATAGAATCTCAACGGCATGAATGCGTAAAATTAGATTTTATATCTTCTTTAAAAGATCCTTTACAATCTGGTACTACTCAAGAAAAAATTGAATCATGTCGTGCAATAGGAAACATGTGTTATGAAAATGGTTCGTAAATTTTTATTCAAAAAATATTTTTTTTATGTTCAATTAAATTTTCTTTTAGCCAATGGTTGTGATTTAGTATTTAATATAATTGGTATAAATACTTTATTTGATGTATGTCGATATTCATGTGAAATACATGAAAACGAAAGTGGACAATTACGAATGATGACATTAGGTGCATTACATAATATTATTAATTCAAATGGTAAAATATAATTAGAAGAATAAATTTGATATGTGTTTTTTTTTTTTTTATTTCGATGTAGAAAAAGTTGCCGAATCAATAATGAAAGAAAATTTATTTCAAATATTTCTTCTTTATATACCATATTTATCTGAATCAAAAATTATATTATTTTTATTTTCAATTTGTTCTAATATGATCGAATATGATACAAGTATGAATATATCTTTCCATAGAAATCGTTCAAATATATACTTAATTAACTATAAATATTTTATGATTGTTGGAATAGGAGTTTGTATAGAGAGAGAATAACATCCATGAGAAAGGATAGAAAGAGTCATAGTACATAACTATGAGTTCTGTAGCAAAATCGAATGAAAAAATATCGAAAAAAGTAATGTGTCTAATGGCCAATTCACAGTTAAATGGCTGTGGGCATTTTTGAATAACTTTTGATAGAAACTAGATAGAGATCAGCGGTTTTCACTGTTCGAAAGAGCAGATGAAGACGCATCGAATTATATATAGAAAGATTTTTCCAGCTACTTTTCTATAGGTTTTGCATTAAACTTCAAGAAAAACAGTATGCTTCTCATGGTCACGGTATTAATTTA